GCTTGTATGATGTGGCTGTGTTTACATCCTTGCATTGCAAGGTTATCTTTTGTAGCATCTTCAGTAACAGTCAGACAATATCTAGCCACCACAGCTCTGCTTCCTTAGTAATCACTGAAGTGGCAGCTGCTTTGCTGTCCAGCCTATACATGAGGAATGTAGTCAAACAAAATTTATCTTTGTCTGCATATTATGCTTCACACAAGTTTGAAGAGGGCTTTAAACTAGAGATGCCGGAGAAGGGGAACGTCAATCCATCCCACTCCGACCAGTTTGATGGCAGAGCCAGCAATAGATGCCCAGAGCCTGGAGAAGGAACACAGGTCAGCAGGAGAGCGCCTGAAAAGCAGCAAAGAGGAACTCCATCCAGTAAGACAGCTTCATCGGGGGCCCAACTTCAATGCCTCTATGCAAACACACGTAGTGTGGGGAATAAACAAGAGGAGTTAGAGACGTGCACACGCCTGCAGGGTTACGACCTTATTGGCATCATGGAGACGTGGTGGATGGCTCCTATGATTGGAGTGTTGGGATGGAAGGATACAGGCTCTTTAGGAAGGACAGGCAGGGGAGACGAGGAGGGTTATTGACTCTATGTCAATAACCAGCTGGAGTGCATGGAGCTCTGCCTGGGGATGGATGAGAAGCCAACCAAGAGCTTATGGGTCAGAATTAAAGGGAAGGCAGGGACAGGTGACATTATGGTGGGGGTCTGCTACAGGCCACCTGACCAGGAAGACCAAGCAGATGAAACCCTCTGTAGACAGTTAGGAGCAGCCTCACACTCACAAGCCCTGGTCCTCACAGGGGACTTCAACCACCCTGATATCTGTTGGAGGGACAACACGTCAGGGCATAAACAATCCGGGAAGTTCCTGGAATGCGTCGATGATAACTTCCTTCTCCAAGTGGTAGAGGAGCCAACGAGCAGAGGTGCTATGCTGGACCTTGTTCTCACCAACAAGGAGGGGCTGGTGGGGAATGTGAAGCTCAAAGGCAACCTGGGCTGCAGTGACCACAAAATGGTGGCGTTCAAGATCCTTAGGGCACCAAGGAGGGTGCACAGCAAGTTCACTACCCTGGACTTCAGGAGACAAGGCTTTGGCCTCTTCAGGGATCTGCTTGGTAGAGCACCATGGGACAAAGCCCTGGAGGGAAGAGGGGCCCAAGAAAGCTGGGTAATATTCAAAGATCACCTCCTCCAAGCTCAGGAGCTATGCATCCCAACAAGGAGGAAGTCAGGCAAAAACACCAGGAGGCCTGCACGGATGAACAAGGAGCTCCCGGACAAACTCCAACACAAAAAGGAAGCCTACAGAGGGTGG